GGGCAACTATCAGCCAGTTCGGCAGTTTACCTTTCTCGGCCAGAAGGTGTGCCACCAGGCTTTTTTGATTCTGACAGGGGTCAGCAAGGCCTATGTGCGCCGCTTGATGACTGCCATTGAGAGTGGCGCCCTGCAGCCTCCAACTGATGGCCGAACCTGTCGGACAGTGAGGGACCAGCCACAGAGGTCATCAGTGGACAGCTTCTTCGACTTTTGCTACTGGATGATAGCTGAGCCTTTGGCAGAGACTCTGACAGATCAGCTGGAGCCCGACACAGTGCATGCCAGCATGGTGGCCAAGGTTGAGCAGGAAGCTCAGCAGCCAGTGGTGGACCCCACTGCTGAATGGATCCTGGCTGGCAGCAACCCAGTGGTGGCAGCAAGCAAGGACATGGATGAGCGGGAACAGCGCTGGCTTCCACATTGCCGCATTGCAGATCTGTACGAGCAGTACTGCTTGGGCTTTGTGCCGCAAGGCCAAGAGCCTGCTTCCTCCACATTGTTCTACAAGCTTTGGCGTGAGCACTGGGCTGGAATCCTTCGCATTCGAAAGTCTGCTCAGCATGCAAGATGTCAGAGCTGTGTCCTGTACTCAGAGTACAGGGCAAAGGCCAGGTCTGAGGAAGTGAAGGAGAGCATCCAGAAGGCTTACACCAAGCATTTGGCTGGAGTTTTTGCCGACCGTGACCTGGGGAGGAGGATGGCGCTGCAGAGTGAGCAGTCCAATCAATTGAGCTCCCCATTGCCCCACTCCAAGCGAACTCTCTATGTATGCTTGGATGGAATGGACCAGGCGTGTTGGGGCAAAGCTTTTTTTGTGTGTACAAAACACTGCCTGGTGCCAAACCATGTGATTTGGTTCTTTCACACCCTCTGGCGAAGTTCTCGCTGCCCCGCCACAAGCAGGCGCAATCTGGGAAGGTGTGGGAAACCTTGCATCGCCCGGCGCTCCACAACATCCTAGTCTTGATTCATGGAGTTTGCGAGTGCTACTTCCTGATGAATCTGGACCAGGAAAAGGATTCAAATTGCCAATGCACGGTGCTTTGTGGCCTGGCAGCGATAGTCATGGGTTTTGGTTTGACTGTTGTTGGCGCATTAAGTTTTTCATTGGCTAGGAAGAACAAAGTTAGGGGCAAGAGCCAGTCAATCAGCCACTCAGGCCGTGCCATTGACATTGCGGCCACCTTGCTGCAGTCTCGCAATATGTGCCTGCCAAGCCACTGGGTGATTCAGGCTGACAATACCCCACGAGAGGGTCGCAATCAATGGCTGGCACTGTGGGCTGGGCATATGGTGGCATCTGCCCGAGCAGCATCCATTTCATTATGCTTCTATCGTGTGGGGCACACGCATAATGAAGTGGATCAGCGGTTTTCAATGCTGGCCAGCATCATGAACCGGGCGAACGTGATCCAGACCCCTCAGGAGCTGAAGAGGCTGATTGAGTCGGAGCACCATCAGGTGAAGGGCCGGGAGATCTTCGCTGAGATCATGCCATCCTCCTTCAACTTTCAGTCCTGGCTGTCGCCGATGGGCGTGTCGTTGACTGGAATGGTGTACCAAGAGGGCCTCACGGTCAATCATGTGTTTCGGGTGGTGCGACGAGGAGACCTGCAGAAGCATGCCGGAAGCGAGAAGTGGACGGTGACAGCGCCAGCTGCAGCGGAGGTGGACGATCAAGACGCGATCCTGCTTACAAAGCACTGGATGTCGTCGAGCCACCTGAGCCAAAACCCGATCCTTTTGGTGCCCAAGGCGCAGGTGAAAGCAGTGCAGCCAGCTGATGGTCCACCACATACCCTGCCGAACAATGAGATGACTGACAGTCAGAGGCAGCAGTTTGAGCGGACTGCAAAGTTTGTGGAGAAGCCGCCTTGGCACATGACCGATGCCAGTGACTATCTCCGAGGCTTGTGCCACCGCAGTGAGCACCGGATGGTGCCAGCTCCAGAGCCACTGGTTTTGTATCAGAAGAGGCCAACCTTGCCAGCACCAGACGCACTAACAGGTGAGCTGTCGGAGGAGTGGAAGGACTTTGCCCCGGACAGCCCCCGGCTGCAAGCAGTTCAGGTTCACCCAGTGGCACCAAAGGTGCCAAAGGCCAACCAGAAGCGGCCCAACAATGCACAGCAGGAGGATTCTGACCCAGAGGTTGAGCAGCTGTTGGCAGTCCAGCAGGCCGAGCTCCCTCCTCGTGCAAAAGCAAGAGGACGTCCCAAGGGCCAGCCAAAGGCGCCCCCAGCAATGAAACGACCAGCTGGCAATGAGGCTCCCGTGCCCAAAGCCAAGGCCAAGGTATCCCCACCCATTGCCAAGCCACCCGCACCTTCAGTGCCGCCGACAAGCACTGAGACTGCTGGCCCACCTTCAGTGCCACTTACAAGCACTGAGACTGCTGGCCCACCTTTGGTGCCACCGACAAGCGCTGAGACTGCAAAGCAGCCTCCACCGCAAGCCAAGGGTGTGCAATCCCAGCCTGCCAAGGCCACCGAGCCAGTTTCAGTGGAATCTGCAAAGGCCAAGCCTAAGCAGTCTGCAAAGGCCAAGCCAGCTGCAGTGCAATCTGCAAAGGCAAAGGCCAAGCCAGTTGCAGCGCAAGCTGCAAAGGCCAAGCCTAAGTTTGGGTGCAGCAAGTGCAGATTTGCACGTGGCTGCAGCACATGCAAGAACTACCGGCCGGAGCCATGACAGGCTGCTGGCAATGCGCAAGTGAAAAAAGCTGATCACACCCGAGTCAATTTGATTTCGCCCAGTGCCAGCCATTGCAATGCACTTTCAGCCATGCAATTTCATTCAGTTCAGCATCGCACTGTGCTTGGCCCAGGTCACCAAAAACTGGAGCCCACCAACTTCAACCAGCTGGCCTGGTGCTCGGAGACTGACACAGAGTGCTTGCAGAGACCGTGTGACACGGAGCGACACAGCATCATGAGTGACACAGAATGATCAGGCTAGGATGCACATTGCACAAAATGCACATTGTCATGCTGAGTCAGACAGTTCCACCACTCATCACACTTGCAGTTTTGGCCTGGAGTGTTGCAAGGAACCGTAGATGGCAGAGACACAGGATTCTGAGTGACACAGCATGATCAGGCTAGGACGCAAATTGCGACATTCATGCTGGGTTTGAGACAGGCTCTCCAGTCATGTCACACTTAGCAGTTTAGGAACCTCGGATGGCACTTGAATTGCCTCCAGCCTTGGATGATGACCTGGATGCGGGAGCTGCAGAACCTAGCCAGCCAGCCAGGCCAGCAAAGGAACCTCGGATGGCACTTCAATTGCCTCCAGCCTTGGACGATGACCTGGATGCAGGAGCTGCAGAACCTAGCCAGCCAGCCAGGCCAGCAAAGGCTCGGCGCTTGATGGCCTTCGCCAGTGATGAATCCTCCCACTCTGTCGCTTTGCCATCCCCAGTCACGCGCCGGCGCAAAAGCACCTGGCTGGAGCCCTTGGCTGACACTCGGCAAGTGGAGTTGCCTCCATCGGCAACATCAGCAACTGGCTTGCAGGCCATCGAACTGCCACCACCCCAGGCTGCTTCAGATGAGGGGGCTGGCAGCTCCAAGGACATCCTCATGCCGGTCCGCAAACAACCACCTGGCCTGTGGCGCACGAGCAAGCACACTGGTGACGCTTTGATGGAGGTGTTCAGTCCTCCCCGCCTTGTGCCAGTTGCTGTCCGGCAAGGTCTTCAAGCCAGTATCAGCTTGGACAAGCTGTGCGGATGGGATGCAAATTTGCCGGAGAGCAAGGCACATGCTGTGCGTCTGGTTCGGGAGCATGCACCCTGGCTTTTGATGCTCTCGCCGGAGTGCACTATGTTCAGCATCCTGCAGCGGAATTGCAACACTCTGAGAATGGACCCGTTGGAGGTGCAAATGCGCACTGCCGAAGCCGAGGACCACATCAGCTTTTGCATGCACCTGGCGCGGGTGCAAGCTGAATCTGGCCGGCGGTTTTGCATGGAGCACCCGGCCGGGGCAAGCTCCTGGAAGCTGCCAGTGGTTCAGGACGTGCTCGACAATGTTCCCGGAGCAATGCGAATAACCTTTGCGCAGTGTCGGTACGGGCTCCGGGGACCTGGTGGCAGGCTGATGAGAAAGTACACCTCCTTCCTCACCAACATGCCGAGTGTGATCACGGAGTTCCGGGGCAAAACTTGCCAGTGTGCCCGCAATGGTGAGGTGCATGAAACCATCGAAGGCACGGTCGACGGGGCACGTGTCTCTCGCTTGGCGGCCATCTACCCGCCGGCAATGGTGGCTGCGTTGGTGGCTTGCTGCCGCAGGGAGCTGGATGACATGTGACCACCAGCATCTGGCACTTTGTGGTGCACGGCTGGGCAAGAAGCTCTGGGCTGGTGGCCCGTGGTGCTTTCGTGGAGACTGGTGGCACGCACATAGAGTGCTTCAGAGATTCGGCCTGCAGAGAGATAAAACACCAAGAGCCGCCAACCGCAATCATGATTGTTTGTTCACACTGTGTCAGATATGATCAGCTGCAATCACTGGCATTGGTGACACAACTTGCTCGTTGCGCAGGTACAGGAGGCAGCCCGGCCCGCACCTCAACCACCACTGCCGAAGTGGCACGCAGCTTGATGCGACCCAGAGATCGCCTGGATAAAATTTTATCCAGCCCATCCCCCCCCCACAGGTCAAGGTCCAGGCCATGTCCAGGTCTCCAGAAACCGAGAGGCACATCTGCCTCCACCAAGCTTCCCTCCCCCAGATCTCCTGGAAAAATTTTTATCCAGGCGATCTCTGCCTCACATTTTTGTGCTGTGGAGCTCAGCTGTTGGGTGCAACCAACTGAGGTTGGATCCGGCGAATTTCTGGTCCGGCACCCATCCGGCGATTTGTTAGCATGGTGCCCGATCCGGCGTTTTTGTCTTTCAGTTGTTCGGTTGGAAGGCCACCCACAGATTTTGAGATCAAGTCAGCATGGCTAGCCAAGACCTTGCCAGTGAGCCAGCCTCAGATGCTGGCACTATGCAAGGATGCGACCCACCTGCGCAGGCAGCAGATTTGACATCTGCCCCAACAAGCCCACGCTCCAGCCTTCAAGAACGTGCGTTTGTGGAGTCCATCGAGCCGGACGAGGGCCGTCCACATGGCACAGCCATCTTGGAGAAGCTTCAGCAGATCCTGGAGAAGTATGGAACTGTTGGTACCTACTTGGTACAGCGGCATGCTGAGCCAGGTGAAGCCAAAGACTTCTTGGCGCGGTTGCATGACCTTGGCCGAGAAGACCTGCCTTTTCATGCTTTGCAAGCAACCTTGCCAAGCACTCCAGCCAGCGCAGGCCCACAGGCCAGAGACACACTTCGCCTTCCTCTGGGTGCGTTTTCATACGCACTGGAGTGCAGCAGCAAGCCAGATGCTGACAACAACTTGGTGATGCAGCTGGCCGAATCCATTTGGCAACATGGCTTCACATCAGCAGAGCAGCCCTTGTTGGTGACTCAGTCTGCAGAGCTTCTGAAATGTGCCTCTGAGGGGGAGAGGAACTGCCCAGCACCATGGTGGAAGGATGGCAGCTTGAAGCCGCATTGTGTGGGATTCATCAAGGGCAAGGCCAGGCTCCACAGCCTGCTTGCAGTTCTGCGGCTTGTGTGGGACTGCTCCATGAAGCTGGAGGAGGCTGGCTGGTTGGGTCAGGATTGATTTCAAGAAATGGTTCTTTAAACAGTGAGTCATGGGTCAGTTTTGGAAGCACAGGTCAACCCTTGACAGCAGCCAGTGTGAAGAGCATCTAACACGAGCCACAGGTCAGTTGTGATTCAGAAACAAATGAAGCCACACCCGAGCCACACACAGGTCAACCCCTTGCTGGCAGCCAGTGTGAAGAGCATCTATGTGCAATGTGTGTCACACTCCTCCAAGCGAGACGAAATCCTCCACAACTTCCGGATGAGTGTGCAGGGGTCACTGCGCAAGGGGCCATCGGTGGTCTGCTGGGTGCAGAGCCTGCAAAACCTGGTCAAAGCTGGTGAATCTGACATTGAGTCAGTCATCCGGAAGCACAACAGCGACAACCCGAAACATGGCCAACTTCTGGGAGCCAAGGCAGTGGCTGTGCGGAACCTGCTGACCTCAATGCCAAGCACTGCCCTTCAGGCGGTCATCAGCCATGTCCAGAGCTTGGGTTGGGCTCAGTGCTGCTTCTCAGATGACTGCTTGGGAAGCAAAAAGCTCCTTCCCAACTTTCAGTTTCGCAGCCAAGCCAGCCAGAAGTGGAACAAGTGGCTGAAAACCACTGAAGCTTCCAGTGTTTTGTGCTTGCAGCACGCAGTGGCTTCATTCACTTTGCGGCCAGAAGTGGCCCGGCGCAAGTGGTCCAAGGCTGAGCTGGAGACCATGGCTGAGCAGGCAGCATTCGTCACAGCCATTGCCAGAGAGGCTCAGAATGAGTGCCCTTTGGATGATGCAAAATTGCAAGCAGAATGGCTGGACCCGTGGGTCCAAGGTGATCATGCTGTTCAATTGGAGGTGACCTGTGTTCTGGGCCAGAAGGATCCACAGCTCACACCACGAGGGGTGAAGCAGTTGCGCGAGCTGCCCCTTGATCAGTGAGTCATTTTAGTCTTACCGGTAACCCTAAAAGTAGAAACAGTTTTTTGGTGGCAAGTGCCAAATATTTTCTGGCCACTCAGGCTGGAAGCGCACGCTGCTGAGATGCCCTTGCCAAGTGCAACTGCTGGGTCTAACACTGTGGAGCGCACCAACCTAGAGGCTGAGGCCTTTGAGCTGTTGAAGAAGCGCATCGAGTACGACTTGCAGTGTGTCCGTGTCTTCAAAGCCCGGACAGCCACACATGAGAGCACCATATACCACCAGCAGCTCATGCACCGCAAGCATGCGATGGAGGTGAGCCACACGGCGGCCACATCCTTCATGAGTGCCAACGTGGCCATCCTGCACAGCCTCCGAGTTGATGAGGTTCTGCGCGAAATCAGCCAGGTGGAGGCACAGTTCTGTCGATCACATGGTGTGCTCAAGGAAAACATGGAATTTCGCCAGCACTTAACACGGGCCAAAATTTGAGTCTGACAGCAATTATTAAGCTTCTATGTTTTATGTGGTTTGCCTTGACAGAGCGTCACTAGTGAGGTCCATGTCATAGTCCTCAACTGGGCGGCAGTGTGCCGAATCAAGGACAGCAGCCAGGCCCGCCAGAGCGAGCTGGCGGGCATCCTCCTGAACGGAGGTAGCCCCAGCATCGGGATCCTCCTCCTCCCCGAATTCACCTACAAACGAGGTTTGCTCTTCGAGCAGGAGTACAGCTGTGTGCAACTCCTCTCTCAGAAGGGCATCAACCTTGACCGTGGCCTGGTCTTGCAGTTTCAGACCAGAAAAGACTCACGGGATTCAAGGCCATTGAACTACCGTGGCAGGATCCTCCAAGGCCTCAACAACACAGACACAGACTGGGCATTCCGTGCCTCTGCGCTGGTGCGAGACGGCCGAACTGCCCCTGCAGAACAGCTTGCAGCAAACAGCATGGTCTATGCTGAAGATGTGGATCCGGAGGCTCTGCCCAAGCAGACAGACCCGGATGGTTTGGTGTCCGGCTCCAAGAAGACCGAGCAAATTGGGACTGATGCTCACTTGAAGTTGCTGGACGCTGCTTTGGATGGGCTGGTCTTGGAGGGCAAGTCAGGGTTGGTCCTGGTGGACCTTCACATTGGTGTGGCTGACAGCCTGGATGCGTGGCTGAAAAAGCGTGGTGGTGTCAACAGCAGCACCCTCTACATAGGCATCACCGACGAGCCAGTGGTACGGGACTGGGTCATCAAAACCAAGACCGACTCTATTGCGCAGGCACACATGAAGGGTGAGTTCAAGATCCCAGGGTGCCAGCCAGCTCCAGCTGAGGCTCCAGCAGACATGATTCACAGCGCGCCCAAGGCCCCAGCTCTCAATGTTCTGCTTCTCAGTGGCAAGACACCCGTCATCCCTGACACAATGATGAAGGACTGACACATTTCATGAGACACGCAATTTAATCTTCAGCGTTTTCAAGCTGCCACTCATTAGGCAACACACAATGCAGGAGTGGGGAACACATAACTTGTATGGCGACGACTTTCGCCAGCTGGCCGATAAGATCATCGAAGAGTTCGGACAAGCAGATGAGCGTGCAGCAGCTGCAACAGAAAGTAATCCAGCTCCAGGCCGGAAGCGTGCTGCAGCAGCTGCAGAGTTACACCCAGCTGCTGCCAAGAAGGTCAAGGCAGAGCACATCATTCCCATGGACAAGCTGCCAGCTGGCAGTGTGCTCATGGATTGCCCGCTCATCAATCAGAAAGCACCCAAGGTGACGTTGCAGCTCAAGGCGGGCCACAAGGCCTATGTGATTAATGCTGGAGACGAGGATGCCAAGTTGAGTGCTGGCTTGGTGCTGGCTGCATTTGGCCGGGGTGCTTACAAGCACAGGCAGCCCAATGAAACCTGGAATCGGGCCAAGGAGCCACTCTTTGATCTGGTGCCTGGGTCGTACGTGCTTCAGGGCCAAAAGCTGGTCGCAGTGCAGGACCTGGTGAATGCCCAGCGCAAGAAGCAGCCAGGGTGTCAGGTGTGCTATCACACTTTGGCAGACTCACCTTCCCCGAAAACCCAGCAGAATGGTCACTGCAGCGAAAGAATGATGTGGCTTTTGTGCCAGCTGGCAAGGCTGCTGCAGAAGAGGAGGGGGGAGCAGAGGGTGGCGTTGGCTCCTTGGTGACCAAGCAAGCCACATGCGCAGTTCTCATGCCACTCCCTGCATGGCAGTCCAGCAACTCTGGCCTGGTGTGGAGTGTCCGTTGGAGCACTACAGGACTCATGCCCATCCGGCCCCAGATTGTGCTGCTCAAGGAATGTGTGCTTCCCGCTCAGTCAGCCTTGGTGCTCAACTGACTGTGAATCTGATTTTCCCGTAGTTTGGTTGGGCATGGCAGCAGGCTTGAAGCGCAATGATTTTGAAACTGTGACAAATTGCCATGAAACCTGCCTTCTGGTGAGGGCGCTGTCAAGCTTGCAGTCGGAGTATAAATCCGCCACACCTGCAGTGAGTGTGTGTGCACAAGCGAAGCAGCCAAGGATGTGGACAAAAAAAGCACAGTTCCCAAATCTCTTTTCCAGTGTGTCAAAGCCGGAGCTCAGTGGGTCTGCCTCCAGTCTTTGGAGGCAGCAGCAGCAAATAGTGACACCTGTGAACTGCCCAGTTTCAGGCAGCGCTATGACCCTTTTTCACTTCTTGCCATACAGGCCAGACAAAGCCTTGCCTAACGCAGCGTTCTTCTTCAACAAGCACCAGGCCTGTTGCCCAGAAAGCTTTCCATATCCAGCATAGGCGCGTTTGTCTTTGATTCTGGCATAGCACATGCCAATGTCATCAGCAACCCCAGACATCTTAAGGTCACTCACCATTCGGTGACGACCAGAGTGGGAGCGGACTGGTGCTTCACAAGGCTGCTCAAAGCTGCACCGGAGGCGTCCAATGGCTTTGCATACTGTGTTCTTGTTCCTGACAACGGAGTCACTGTCGGCACGTTCAGCTGGAAATAGTGGTCCAGTCTGTGGCCATTTCCAGCAATCCAGAAACAACTTCTCCCCCAAGGCACCTTGCTTTTTAATCCTTTTTTGCTTCACGGTCTTGTTTTTAAGCTGCAGCAAGATCTTCTTCACTGGTGGCAGCATAGGTTTTCGGAGAGCTGGTTGCCCTTTCAAAGGCTTGATGTAAACTGAGTTGCCACGACCAAATGCAAAATCTTCAGCAGTGAGGCGCAGGGCCTCAGTAATCCTCAAGCATAGCACGTGTGTGAGCAAGAGAGCCACATACAGCCAGCATGAGCCATGAGCACGGACATGATCAAGCCATTGTGTCCACAGCTTGTCTGGCAAGGCAGATGCTTTCCCAAGCTTTCTCTTCACAGGTCGCTTCTTTGGTGGCCTTCCTGGCCCTCGACGGGCAGCCATTTGCCAGCCTCGCACCTAGATAGAAGGAAGTGTATTTTGAGCCAATTTCCTGTCAAAAAAAGCAAAAAACGCATGGGTTTTTTCAGGCAGTCCGCCTACCCCGTCAAAAGGCGGACAGCCGTGCAAATACCACAAAAACGCCAAACAGTGAGAATGACCCCCCCCCCCCGAGAACCACACAAGCACAAACAACAAGAACGAATCCCACTGAGAACCGGACAAGCACGAATAACCAGACACTACAGAAAGAACGAGAACGAACCAAAACCAGAACGAACAAGAACAGTTGTGCAAATACCACACCACCACCAAGCCCCACACACACACAACGAGAATGCCACGTTCTCCATCAAAAGCACTTGGCTGAGGTGGCTCACACTGAGATTCTGGCAACATCGTGAATCGAAGCTTGGGTAGTGCTGAAAGAAGCATGTAGCCCACTGGGTGAAGTGCTCTGTGTAGGGATGGCCTGCCGAATGAGGCACAAGGTGCTGTGTGAAGCACAGTGCCCAAAAGCATTTAGCAACAAAAGCAGGCCATACGCGTAGCATGTTCATCTTATGCGCTGCCATGATGATGTCGGTGTTTTTTTACCACATGCACCTTGTTCGGTGCTGAACACCTCGGTGTTTTTACCACATGCACCTCGTTCGGTGCTGAACACCTCATTCGGTGTCTGTGTCAAACACATGGTTTGGCGCTGGGTGCCTCATTCGGCGCTAGGTACCTCATTCGGCACCAAAAGCACAGGACACCTCATTCGGCGTTGGGTGCTTCACTCAGCACTGGCCTCACACATCAAGCCATCGTCATGTGCTTTCTACAGCACTTAGTTGGGTGCCAGGTGTGGAGCTCGCTCATCAGCCAAATGTCCTGCAGCAATGGCTTGAGTTGACCTGTCAGAGCCTGGTGCATGTCAGCCAGTGCCTCAAGTTGTCCGGGGCTGAGGCGCCCACAACATGAGCCGGGGCATCCTCAGCCTGGCAAATGCGGCATATTTGAACATTCAACGGTGCTGAAAGAAGCATGTAGCCTGCTGGGTGAAGTGCTTCACAGAGGGGTGGCCTGCCGAATGAAGCAGAAGGTGCTGAGTGAAGCACGGTGCCCCAAACATAAGCGTAGCGTTCATCTTACACGCTGCCAAGTAGTGGGTGGTTCTTTTTGCCACAAGCACCTCGTTCGGTGCTGAACACCTCATTCAGTGTGTGTGTGTCAGGTGCTGGGCGCCTCATTCGGCGCCAGGCGCCGCATTCGGCACCGAAAGCACCGGATGCCTCGTTCGGCGCTGGGTGCTTCACTCAGCACTGGCCTCACAATCAGGCAGCTGTTGGAACTGAGCAGCACTTGCCTGCTAGGCCAGCCATTGTCGTGTGCTTTCTACAGCACTTAGTTGGCGGATGAGGCGTGGCTTGAGTCAAGCCCGCACAGCTTGAAGTTGACCGTTCAAGCCTGATGCGTGCCAGTCAGCGCCTCAAGTTTTCCGGGTCTAAGGCGCCCACAACACGAGCCAGCGCATCCTCAGCCTGCTGAAGCAAGCAGTTAGCCAAATGAGGCATCCATGCCTAGCTTGGGGACTCCAGCCGGGTGAGGCAGTGGGTGCTAGGCAGATTCAGACTTTCATGGAACACACTTAGAAGGAAGCACTCAGGCAGCCTGCCGAATAAGGCAGAAGGCGCTGTGTGAAGCACACCCAGTGAGTGTCTTCCAAGTCCGAGTCAGTTTCAGCTGCTTGGCAAATCCTGAACGCTGAAAAACATCAAATGCAGCCGTGTCAGTAAAATGATGGCTGTCGAATGGTGATCTTGGCGAAATTGGCCGAGGTTTGCTGACAGCAAGCCTGTCAGGTGCCTTATTCGGCAGGTGCGGGACCTCATTCAGCGCGCCTCATTCGGCACGCGCCTCCTGCGGCGCTGGGTGCCTGATTCGGCGCCAAAAGCACTGCACGCCTCGTTCGGCGCCGGGTGCTTCACTCAGCACTGGCCTCACACATCAGCGGTCGGAACTGAGCAGCACTTGCCTTAGGTTAGGCCATTGTCATGTGCTTTCTACAGCACTTAGTTGGGTGCCAGGCGTGGAGCTCAGCCTGAAAGCTGATCAGCCAAATATCCTGCAGCAATGGCTTGAGTCATCAAGAACACACTGCTTGAAATTGACCGGTGCATGTCAGTCAGTGCCTCAAGTTGTCTGGGACTGAGGCGCCCACAACATGAGCGCATCCTCAGCCTGCTGAATAAAGCAGTTGTTGCCACTTGCCTGGCGAATGAGGCATAGCTGAAGTTGTACCCTGTTCTGACAAGCACCGCCTGCACGCTGGTCATCTCCAAGCTTCGGCTCCTTGGCAGCATGATGGCAAAAGATCAGTGTCAGGTTGCATAATAAGCAAACACATGGGATGAGCACTCTGTGAGCCAGCACGTTTTTTTCATCTTGCCGTCAGTGAAGCTGGTTGCCAAAAGCGTGGTCAGCTCATTGGTCTTGGGTGTAACTAACTTCAACATTCACTCATTGAGCTTCGGAGCTGGCCACCACGGGCAATGTTGGGTTGGGCTCTCTACAAGTTGCCCATCAGTGCGCAGACACTGCCTGCATTGATGCCCCCGTCTTTCCTGTGTCAGGCAACTTTCAGTCAGTCAGTCAGTCAGTCAGTCAGTCAGTCAGTGTCAGTCAGTCAGTCAGTCAGTCAGTCAGTCAGTCAGTCAGTCAGTCAGTCAGTCAGTCAGTCAGTCAGTCAGTCAGTCACACACTACATCCTGACGCTGACATGTTTTGTGTGTGTGTGTGCCCGATCCTCTCTTCCGTGGGCGGCCATGATCACGATCACGGCCCGGGCTGTCCTTCAGTGCAGCAAGCAAACCAGTGACAGTCGGTTTATGTCATTCACAAGTCGACAGACAGTCAGTCGCTACTAGTCGTCAGTCCAAAGTAGTGAGCGGGCTGTTTAAGCCGAGAGGTGTGCAACCCTGCCCCCGGTGCCTTGTCATCAGGATGGCGATCTGGAATGTGTTTTCGGTCCGCGGCCTGACACACTCATGGCAGTCAAAGATGAGTGTCATGTTTGGTCAAACCTACTGCTGCTGCCACACTTCTCTCACAGCCAGCCTGTCTCAGCTTTTTTTCCTTTTTGTCTTCTTTGGCTGCCTTCTGCATCTTCTTCTGCTTCTTGCTTTTTTGCTTCTTCTTGGCCGATGGCTCGGAGTCTGTGTCCTGCAAGCGGATGTTGACACACAATGATTGACAGCTCAGAACTTCAACACTTCATGCTAGCGTGCCGGCCTCCGCTTCTGACTTGATGGGTGGCCCCGCTGCTGCTGCGGCTGCTGCTGCTGCTGCTTGTGGACCTGCTTCCGCTTCTGCTGCTGCGGCTCGCACTGCCCGGGCTGTGCACCGCTGCCACATGGCCAGGTGCTGCTGGAGGCTCCGGTCTGCCATTTCTTGTGCTCTGCTCATCATCGCCTCCTGGGCCTTGATGAAGTGCTCCTGCTGGGCCTGCAGCTGCTTGCGCTGTTCGCTTTGCAGCTGCATCAGCATCTGGTCGTGCTGCTGCTGCTGCGCTGCTGCCTTTGCCGCGGCCATGTTGGCCTGGCTGATTGCCTTCTCCGCGACTCGGAGGTGGTACCGGCGCTGCCGGGCAGGGCCTGCGGGCCGGTACTCATGGCGCCGGTCGCTTGCTGCTGCAGCTTTGAAAGGGGGCGTGAACGGCTGGTCGGAGCGCCGCGACATGGATGGGGCTGTTGGTGGGGCTGCCGCTTCTGGGGGCGTCAGGTG